TAAAGTACTAGATCATAATGAGAACAGCGGACCATCTTCACAAAGGTCGCGTGCGGATCGCACTGCTTAGGGGTTAAGGGGGGAGGGGCAGCTACCAGTCGTAATCTGTGAATTAGTGCTTCTGCTAAAAATAAAGCAAACATGAGAGAAAATAAGTCACGCAATTTGGCCAGAGCATGACGTGCCACATCGCACTGACATCTTCACTGAATCGTTTATGTCGAAAAGCAGCCGATATAAAAATTGACCTTCGACCTGATAATAGTAGCACCTATGGCGGAATAATTCATGTGTAATCTCTGCGTAGTATAGAAATCATACGCCCGATCTGAGAGCGACACATGGGGTTTAACATCTCAATACTTCCGCGTGGGAACTCTTTGTAGAGTACATAGCAGTTGTGGAGAGTCCATTTGGTCTTTTGATCTTACTAGGAAGATTGAGTACTATATAAAGGCGTGAGGGTAATCCTTACCGCATTCTGTAGTTTCATCAAATGTTTGTTTTCAATTTGCAAATCTACCGCTTGTCTTGCTCACTGGCATTACTCTGCCACCCTCATAACTCTAGCTCTAGAACTTTAACTCCTACACAGAGCTATTAAGCGAGCCACTGCACCTTCCTGGTTGGATCTCTTTTCCTTTTTAAAGATACGGCCCATAGGGCTGCGTTCATACTTTGCGGCAGCGTTGTTTACCAGCGGCCACTAGCGTTTTAAACGTCCGGGCGTCCGGGAGCGTCAGCGTCTAGAAAGGCATAGATACCAATCTAGCTTTCTCCAGCGTGTACCAGCGTCCGCCAGCGTCCATCAGGAGCCGTGAGTAGAGGTATGGGGTAGTGTAAGGGTAAAGAGCTGGATCGGGCGTCGTGAAATTGCGGCACGTGCAACTGCACCGTACAAGTATACTACACCTTGCTTTAAACAACATACTTTTGTGCTTTAGCATTTGTGTAGTGCGATACACACGCCGCAATTTCACGATGCCTGATCCCTCATACTTCCCCATAGGTTCTCCTTCCGGTTGCTGGTGGACGACGGTGACGCTGGCAGGGGTTGTGTCGGTACCTACGCCACCCTAGCCCTCAAGACGCTGGCAGACGCTGGTAGACCCTGGCACATACTAGGTCTATATCCATTCTTTCCTAATGACTGACGCTGCCGGACGCTTCAAGCGCTACTGGTCATGGGTAAACGCTGCTAGACGCTGCGGCAAAGTGTGAAGCCTAAGGAAGGTGCAATGGTTAACTGGTCCCGCAGAGCTTACACGATCGGCGTGAACTGCACCTCCATTATTCTTCGAATACATGATAACGTGTTCATAAAAAGTTTTGTATTACAGCATTGACGTGGTCTGCAGTGTCACAACATGATGATCCAGATGCTCCTGCTGATGTTGCTATTTCGATCCAGCTCTTGCCTTACTGAAAAAGGCAGAGCTGCCTTGACAAGGGTACGTATTGGAGAATATAGCTCTTACTCTCAACTAAACTAGTATTAGGCTGTCCGGAAAGTTCTTCAGGTTTTTGCTGCACCTAAATTTTTGATACATATCACTGCTGATTAAGATCAGTATTGCTTCTCAGTAGCACATCCTGTAGAGAATTTCTTGCGCTATCTGATGGTATAATTGCCGTTTCACCATTGCTTGATAAACCCCCTTTTTTCAAGATTTTTTCAAGCATGTGAAAAGAGCACTTCGGACGATTTTTTCTTCGACTATAAATTGGGGCAATCCGCAATCGAAACAGCTCAACAAATTAACCAGGTGTGGGGGCCCAATAGTGCTAGAGAAAGCACTGTGCGGCAATGGCTCAACAAATTTCGTTCTGGAGATTTCAGCCTTGAAGATGAACCTCATAGCGGTCGACCTAAAGCAATATCTGACGAGGATTTTAGGGGGATTTTGGAGGCTGACCCATCCCAAACAGTTCGAGAGATAGCAGAAGAGCTAGGCCTTGGCAAATCCACTGTTGCAGATGGTCTGGAACGCATTGGGAAGGTGAAAAAACTCGACAATTGGGTGCCCCACAATCGGAGTGACCGGCAGGAATCGGCACGTCTCGAGGTTCCTTCTGCATTGCTTTTGCGCAGCAGAAACGACCTGTTTTTGGCCGAATTGTCACCTGTGATGAAAAATGGGTCATGTATGATAACAGGAGACGTTCCGGACAGTGGTTGGATTTCGACGAACCACCGAGGTAATTTTCAAAGCCGAACCCTCACGAAAAAAAGATTCTGGTCACGGCTTGGTGGTCATCGGCTGGTGTGATCCACTATAACTTTTTATCACCAGGCCAAACCATCACAGCAGAACCCTACTGTGAAGAAATCGACGAATTGTACCGAAAATTTTGTCAGATGCAGCCAACACTTATCAAAAGAAAGGGTCCGATTCTTTTGCATGACAACGCCCGCCCACACGTTTCACAAATCACTATCCATAAATTGAACGAATTGGGGGTTGAAGTTCTACCTCAACCGCCATATTCTCCAGACCTTTCACCAACCGACTATCACCTTTTCAAACATTTTCAGAACTTCCTTGCTGGAAAATACTTCATCAATCAGGACCAGGCAAAAAAGACCTTCGTAGATTTCGTGGATTCTCGACCACCCAGTTTTTTCTTTGATGGGATTTCTCGACTGCTGTCACATTGGCAAAAGTGTGCTGATTCGAATGGTGCCTATTTCGATTAAATCCGATGAGTATTAAAAAAGTTACGATCGTTTAAAGTGAAACACCCCCTCGAGAAGGATCCGGACAT